CCGAGCGCGTCATCGACGCCGCCTTAGTGTGTTTTTTTCGGGCTCGCGTAGCCTTGGGTGCGTTACGCCGCCCTAGCATTTTTTTTCCGCGCGGTCTAGCGCTTTTCGCGTAGCCTTGGGCGCGTTCTCGACGCCGCCCTAGCGTTTTCCGCGCGGTCTAGCGCTTTTCGCGTAGCCTTGGGCGCGAACGTCGCGATTAGTCGCGCCGTCGAGGCGACTCGCGTTGTTGACAGGATGTTGCGGTTTGTCGCGTCGCCCTAGGCGTGTCTGTTTTCCATAACGTCGCGATTAGACGTGTCTCGCACGTCGCGATTAGGCGCGTCTCGCGTCCGAGCGTTTTCCGCGGGGGCTTAGCGCGTCCTGTTTGTGGTTTGACGTGTTTTTTTACGTCACTTTAGAGAGTATTTAACTAGGAGTGTCGACGATATATTGTTAGTAGTTTGCGAGATGGAGAGTCAGTCTAATGTTTCGGAGAGTCAGTTTAATGTTTTGGAGAGTCAATTGAAGGATCCGGAGATAATATCGCTCTTAGAAGATTCGCTCGAGTTTTCGAGAGAGATGGAACGCGAGATAGTGGAACAGGAGAAACACGCGATGACGATGGGGCGTGAGAAACGGCCTACGATCGAGCGGGAAGAGGAGGACGAGACATCGGTGGAGGTCGAGAGCGATGCGATCGACTCGCTCGAGTTGATGCGCGCGATGTGGACGTCTATGCATTCGACGTCGTGTAATTTGCGGCTAATGATGGCGTTTTTGTCTAAACATCTGGCGATTCATCGAGGAACGAAGCCGATCGCGTGTATACGCGAGGCTGAGCGTATGAGGAATGCTATATGTATCGTTACTGATATCTGGAGTCGAAAGGGTCCGTGGAACTCGTATTGCTCTGGGGACAGTATGGTTCGCTTGGTCGAGAGTTCCGCGACGCCGGACGAGCGTGCGTCGCTTATGGAGATTGAGATAACGAAGGAGGCTTCTTCGAATTGGATAAAAGATTACTGGGAATATCTGGCGCGTTTGAAAACGACGAAAGGGGATCTCGACGACGAGTACGAGAAATATCTTGCGCGTTTGAATACCACGAGAGGGAATGATGAGAGTTGTGGCAGTAGTTTAGACGCATTGTTTGCGTCTCTATCTGGAGATAAGGTGGAGGCTGATCGATTCGTTCAGTATGTGACGAAGTTGCAGGGTGGACGACAGCTCGAGGCGAGATCTCCGGGCGAGAAAGGGATCGATTGCGAATTGGTTCGAATGTACGTGTACAATGTCAAGGATATAGTTAAGAAAAAGAAATGCAACTGGTGGAAGTATGCGAAATTGAGAGTTCAATTTTTGAACTCCGTGTCGGATCGGAAGAAGCAGTTGATGCGACAGTTGATAGATCGAGTCGCCGATGATCTGAGGAAAGTACCCGGAGTGCGCGGGGAGGCGAGAAACGTCGAGTGCGACAGCGAGTAGAATGTATCGTTATGACGTTCGCGCAAATTATCGTCAGGGGGGTATTGATTTGTGGCGAAGAGCGCGAGTATATGTAAAAAAAAATGTACTAATATTTCTATGTAAAAAAAATATATGGTATTAATATGTATACTAATTGAATATATGTATAAGAATATATGTATAAAAATATATACACGAATATATAAGAATATACACGAATATAAGAATATACACGAATATATGTGTAAAAATATGTACACGAATCTATGTGTAAAAGTGTGCGTAAATATGAAAATTATCGTAGGAGTATTAATAAGAAGATAATATTTTTATTGGAAATGTGAATGTTGTGCGATGCGTCATTTTTCGCGCTCGCTACGCGTGACTACGGGAAGTCTAACCGCAACGGCGATAGAAGATTAGTCAGTCTATTGTTTATTTCTTCGTTTTTATTCTATTGCTATTTTATCGTTGTCATGTTTTTATTTTTGTTCTCTATTGTGTACTTTTGTTCTCTATTTTGTATTATGACTGATATTGCGTATGGGATCTTTAGCGAGATCGTCATTCGTTGGTGTGTAATCGCGCTACTTATATTTGGATTCGTTCGATGAGAATAATCTCACGCGATAGAATAGAAATTAAAGCGATTTTAATTTCTGATTCGCGACTCGGATCGATTCATCGCGTCGTCCTCGTCCTCTCGCGACCGATGGCAACATCGATCGAACGTATTCGTGCGTATTTTGGTCGGCGACGCGCAGTGTCGATTTGACTTTTGTTTCGCGCGATGACGCCCGCTCGTGGAATCGCCGTGATCGCGTGCGCGATAGCCGTTATCGCGGCGATTCGCGACTCCGTTGCCAACAGCGATTCCGTTGCTAACAGCGACGAAGAGGCGATTCGGTTTTTGCAAACCTACGGATATCTGAATGGTGATAACGTGCAAACGATATCAGATAACGCGACGTTGGCTCTGAGACACGCGATTGCGCTTTTTCAGGAGTATTATCGTATACCTGGTGATGGTGTTCTTAACGAAGCTACATTGGAACACATGCGTAAACCGCGATGCGGTGTCAAAGATATATTACATGACTTGGACGATTCTCCGAGGAAATGGGCGAAGACGCATCTCACTTGGAACTTTCATCTGGCGAGCGAGAGCGTTCTACGAGTCACCGAAGTCGCGTTCGAAATGTGGGCTGCGAATTCATCGCTGACGTTCGAGCGCAATTCAACGAATCCCGAGATCGTGATATCATTTCGGAAAGGTTTTCATACGTTTGTAGATCCTCGGCATCAAGGTAGTCGAATATGTCCGTCGTTGTTGGACGGACCAGGAAACGTGTTAGCTCACGCTTTTTTACCATCGTCAGAAGTGTCAGAGGTGCACGTGGATAGCGCGGAGAAGTGGCACATCGAGTTAACTGTTAATCCTGACGATACGATTCATCTGTTGCATACGTTGACGCACGAGATCGGTCACGCATTAGGATTACATCACAGTCCTTTAAAAGATGCGATAATGTACGCTTTTGTTCCCTCTAAGACCTTTCCCGTGCGATTGAGCGAGGCGGATGTTCTCGCCATTCAGAATTTATACGGTTTAAGAAATAAGAGTGAAATTGCGGGACCAGTTACGACGACTATAGCGACGACCACGATTGCGACGCGCGATACAGGGAATTCCGCGGATCTGTGCGCGTTGCGACGCGTCGATACGGTGTTGGTATTAGAAAATAGAATGTATGTGGCGTATCGACATTACTTATGGTCGATCGATCTAAACGGAAAATCTTACGGTAGGTCGTTGTTACTGACGGACTATCTGCGTTTTCTTCCCGATAATTTTACGCGTTTGGCGGGTGCTTATCGACGACCTTCGGGCCAACTCGTATTGTTTGTTGACAATACGGTTTATATGATAGAATATCCGAGTTTTGAGTTAGTACCGAGTTGGCCGAGGAAATTGAAAGATATGAATCTTTCTCCTAATGCGAAAATTAATGCTGTGATTAATACTAACGCGAGACGAACGTTTGCGATCTACAACGACGAGATCGTGGCCGAGATCGACGATTGCTCGATGATAGCCGTCAGGCATAATTCGTTGCACGCGATATTTCCTGGGATTCCACCTGCTGTAACATCCGCCGTTCGATACATCGACGGTAATCTGTACTTTTTTGTTAAACGACAGTTTTTTAAATATAACGAATTTACTAGAAGTGTAACTATGGCCGGTAAATTTGATTCGGAGATTTTTGGTATCGTGTGTCCAAAGGACGGATTGTTAGAGCAATTGCGCGCTCTTTTGAAAAGACTCGCTCAGATGAGGAACGTGTTTTCGAGCGAGGACGATTTAGAAGAGGAGAGGGAGGAGGAAGAGGCACGGAAGTTTTCGCATAGTGTATAGAGCTAAGAATACGAAACGTTTACGAACAGTATTGCGCGATCTCTTCGATCGTAAAGATGTACAATATCGAGCGCTCGCAGGATTCCGAGACGTGCCGAGTCGACGAGAGCGATGACACGAAAAGGAGAAAGAGGACGCTCGATGATGACAGATCGCGTCGAGTCATAGTAACGCCGGTTATACGAATAATTCAGTTAGAATTCTAGAACGAAAATATTCCTTGACTAAGACGGGATACAAATTTCTTAATGTATGTGTTACTCTTGAGCGCTCCTCGCGCGTGAATATTATTCTGGGAGATAGTCATGGCAAGGAGATCTTGATGTTGCCCGATACATGGAAGCAGCTTGTCGAGCAACGAGACGTTCTCTTGAAGTATCTGCAAAGTATCAACGGAGAACCGTCCTTTCTAGCCCCGTTGGATATTGGAAATATGACCGTGCGTTTTGGAAAAATCAACAACTTGACGATATTACGCCTGGAAACATCCGTGGCTCGCCTGGCCATGTCGAGGGAAACAGTGAAAAATATGTTCGAGCTCGAGCATTGCATCAATCGACTCGTTATCTCGTTGACCAAGATATTAGGAAAAATTAATGCGAAATTGACACGTTTCAAGGATATTGCGTTAACCGCTAAGGATAAGGAAAATATCTCGAAAGTTATACGCGATAGCGATGCCTACGATCGTAACGACATTATCGATTGCGAACTCGTTGCTCTGTACTTTGGGATGTAAGATTGAGATGAAATAAAAGTGAGATATATCATAAACAAGGTTTTGTGTATTTTCTCAAGCATGTATATAAGTATAGCGAGCGATAAAACAATTCGATTATAGTATAAGCAATGAATCTAATTATAATATATAAGCATTGAATCTAATATAATGATTACAAACTAATTTCAATTCGATTATAGTATAAGCAATGAATCTAATTATAATATAAGCACTGAATCTAATTATAATATAAGCACTGAATCTAATATAATAATTAAGAAACTAATTTGACATATGATATAAGTCGTTAATGCGATATTACAATTCGGTGATACATTCCCGTCGTGTTGACCACCAGTTGTACAATTTGCACACGTTCTCCATTGCGCAATGCTTCGTGTGACGCTCGCAGTGAAATGCTCGAACGTCGTTCAGAGTGCTTAGGCGCCCTATATCTACGAAATCCGCGTCAATAGGCTCGACGATCACGTTGTGATCCGCGATAATGTCGCAGCCGAGAATTTCCTCTAACCATTTCTTTTTCTCCAAGCCTTTGACGTACTCGTTTAGGTGCGTCTCGTGATTGATTGCACACGCTGTTTCGAATCACGTTTTTCGAGAGTCTGTACGCGATATCGCCGTCGCTCCACTGCAAGCCGTGATGATTGGAGGTTATCCAACAAGCTTTAGATTTTTCCGTTTTTGTAAGAAGATTCCAAGGTATCGCTTCTCGAAATATTCGATGGGTCAGTTCTTTTCCATTTTTAATATTGCCACCTCTTTAACCGTAAATTTTTCTCGAACGGTAAAACCTTGCAGATCGACGAAGATCGGTATGTTTGGCATCGCTCTCGTAGGAAAACCGTGATTACGTGAGTTTATGTACGGCGTTCGTCAGTAGGTTATACTCTACAACTCTATCATGAATGATGAGACAATAAGCCGTTGTGTTAGCCGGAACGTTTTCTTTGCATTCGAATTCTACGCGAACGTCGACGGTGGCGCTCTTGATCGATTCGTTCTGATGGGAGCAATCGATGACCACTAGCGGACCGTATTGCAGAAATCTAGTGACAGACATAAATGGTTCGCAAGTCTCACATCCGTAATACGTCTTTCGAAATTTTAGATACATATCGTACAGTACTGCGAACTTGTTTCGCTCGAAATCTAGATTCATATCGTTGTAGAGATAGAACTTGGAATTCAAATAGAGTTTTACATTAGTCAGCTTACAATTGTCGAATTTAGAAATGTCTTCTGACGGTACATTTTTTTTCCGGTCTGTAGCGCAAAGATCACGTATCGCGGTTTCTCCAATTGCGTTGCCGCTTTTACCGCCCAGGAATGCTTGGTTGTACTTTGCAACAACGGAAATTCGTATAGATCCCACGAACGAAAGCCCATGCTCAGATATCGTCCACTGTCCAATGTTCGCAGAAGCGATAGTTTGTTAACGTCATTAAGTATCACGTGTGGCATTCGCCACTGTATTCTTAACAAGGTGATCTTCGGTCTCTGATCTGAATACGCTACGACGCAATTGTTATCGTCGTTTGCGAGCGCGTATCAGAATGAGTTCGTGTCGCGCGTTTATCACTATGCGTTTGTAATCCTCGCAGAAACCAAGGAGTATGTTGAGAGGCACACAAAAGTTAAAATCATCCAATGCTATAGGCGGTATTTCCCATCCGGTGTTCTGTAAAACTCTATCTCTCTCGTAGCTTAACGATGCATAGTTTTTCATCAAGGTCGTTATGCCGACGTTTGCTCTTATCAATCTCCACGCCATTAAGCTCGTATCGAATCTCGTCGAACATAAACGCGACGCAATTATTGACTAGCTTTGTTCTCGTAACTTCTTTTGCCGTGCCTTCCTTCGCCGTGCCTTCCTTCGCGGTCTCTCTCGTCGCGAATTTTCCCTCGATGTATAGAAAACTTTCACACGGCAACGTATATAGATCCTGTTGCTGAATAGGTATTCGTATCCCGTCGCTGTATTCGAATGTAGTGTTAGCATATGGATTGTAAGTGTGAGTTTCTATTTTCACGATACGATCGTCAAAGATTGGGGCACCTCCGATACTTAAAATGTCGCTCGCCATGTCGATTCTTCACGACGAAACCTAAAGATCTTAAAAATGCAATGTTCGCGGCGTTCAGCTCGTTCACTCTTCCCTCGTGTGCCTTCCTCGTCGCGTCGTTTTGCGGTGGGATCGCGGATGTAGCGTTTGCGTCTTCTCTTCCTCTCGAGTACCACTCATTTAGAACGAGCATCTTTTGCTTTCGCGCATTTCTCTCTAATGCCTTCGTCGTCGCACGTGAAGTCGCGCCGTTATCTCTTCTCCACGAAAATCGATCGGTCGCCCGTCTTGATCCACGATTCGAAGCGTGATATCGGTAACGTTTCGCGCGATGATTGGAAAGTAAATGATCGATGTTGGAGCATTCAACAGTTTATATCCCGGAGGAACATTTGGCGAAAATTCGTGTATCGTGTGAACAGGTTCGTTATTGCTGTACGCACCTGCGGTGATATTGCACTCCGCCCTAATGATATTTACACCCATGATATTCACGGGTCCATCGGACGTATGCCATTTGTTCGGTCGTAGCACGCGCGACGATGAGAATTCCAGAAGCGAACCGATATTGTTCGGTTTCGCGAAATCGATTTGATGCTCGCATTTAATTTCACTTCTCATAGTATTTTCATTGGCTCGAATGATCGGAGACCGCGCGCCTCTCTCGCCCTCGTCGTTCTCGTCATAGACGATATCATCGCTCGTCCTCTTGCTTTCGTCGATGTTTCGCTTTTTAAAGATAGCGGCATTTAGATATCTGTCTATCGCACTTAATTCGTACGAACCTTCGGGAATCACGATCGTTTTGTCGTCGTAATAGAACGTATTATTCGTGGAATCGACATTCGATATAATGTTGTATGTCTCGAAATTCGTGAGACCTAACTCGTAATCGTCGTCGCTCAGATCTAAAGCGGGAAAATAGCACGCCGTGAGAACGCTACTCCTACCGGTGAACGAAAGACTCAGCGACATCGCGACCGATGTTCGAGAGAAATTGCAGGCACAACTGACCGCAAATGTTCTGATCGTACGTCTGATACGATCCGCGATTGTACGTTATATTTACGCCGCCGAGATATCTCTCGAGTTCCCTTGGCGGTCGAAGATTGCCGAAACTGTCGAAGTAAATCGCGTCGTTTCCCCTCTTCGCATAGGCGACCCAGTGAGTACCCGAGCCCATCGAGTCGTCGAGATTCACGATGCCACTCTCGTTACGTCGCGCCTTTAATGGTAATGCGTCACGCATAAACACTCCTCTGAAGAAGGGTATTCGTAGACGATGCGTCGAACGGTTCAATTGTTCGTTCGTTGTGATGCCGGAGAGTGGTAACCTGAGCGATCCTAACGTTTCTTTCCATGATTTTTTTTCGTTTTTCTCGTTACACCGCTGCCGCGTTTGTAAGACGCTAGATGCAATCCGTGACCCTCCATCGCTCAATTGTGACGTTGCAACTCCTCCAGTTGACGCCGTGCAGTTTTACTGGCGTTTACTGCCTTCGCGACACCCGCCGCGCCACCGATTAAAGAACCGAGCGCGTCTAATATCGGAAAAATGGGTAACAAGCCTCCACGTTTCACTGTTGGAAGTATCCTCCTCTTCGTTGTCGTCTTCCTCCTCTTCTTTCTCAAACCCATGCCTAGCTTTGTCTTTGTTTTCATAGCAGCCCATACGACAGCAGCTCTCTCGCCGAAGGTGGAATCTCCGGCTGTTATACGTTCGCGCGCTTTCTCGGCGAGAGCTCGGTCGGCGTCGTGGCGATCGGCGAGTTTCTTATTTCGCGAATAGGCGATATCGTGCTCGCTGCACGCCGCATCCAACGGATTTACGTCTCGATCGCCGCGCGCCAATCGTTTCGCGAGATGGATACCGGGCCCACAAAATTGATATCCGGGAATATGTAGTTCGAAGGGAAGCGCGTTTATCGCCGCATTGAGTAGTCCCACGCCGCTAAACATTCGTTACAATTTTTGATAAGAGGCGCAGGACCGTCTATATGCGATTGTTGCCATGGACGATTATAATGTTCCAGACACACGCGACAACGTTGTATCGGGATCCGCTCTCAGATGATCGGGTAATCTGTCCCACAGTAGCTCCACGTATCTATCGAAATCACGCACGAGAACGAACTTCGGAATAAGTTGCAACTGTTGAGCGGATAGATTGAGAATATCGCGTTTGTCCGTTAATA